AATGGTCAGTAGGAGGCAGCCTGCATCTATGACAACATGTTGTGCTTTGGGATCATCCAGGAAGTCACAGCCATGCCTGGTTCTGCCAGGATCTAATGGTTGTTGTGGGTTTACTTCTTAGGATTGATAGCTTATGATCAAATTTAAAAAAGGAAAAGGATTTTTTAAAAAAATGTAAGTTGGCAAACTAGGATTTACCTGCCATACCTCTTTCTCCAGAGGCTGTGAACATTGATTGTGCTGTCAGTGGTCAGTAGGAGGCAGCATGCATCTATAACAACATGTTGTGATTTGGGATCATCCAGCAAGTCACAGCCATGCCTGGTTCCACGAAGGCTTTCACGGTCATGATCTAATGGTTGTTGTGGGTTTTTCAGCAGAAAAAGACAAAAGCCTATCTCACAGCCATAAATACTGCACTCCCATAGCCAACTACACCAGAGCACAGAGTGCTGTCCTCTGAAGATGCCGACCACAGAGACTGGCAAAACGTTAGGAAGAACAACCTTCAGAACATGGCCAAAGAGCCCAAAAAACCCACAACAACCATGCCTGGTTCCCTTCAGAAGGGACAGAGCTTGGAACAGGAGAGCAGATGCTTCCATTCTTTGACAAATAGCTCATAATCCTCCCACTCTACTTTGGTTGTTCAATGAATTGTACTCTACTCTTGGAGACATGATGGAAAAAGTCGCCAGCTCCTGCCACATCAAGCTGCAATCAGCCTTCTCCAACCTGATGCTCTCTAGAAGTGCTTAACTACGGCCCCCATCATCTCCCATAATACTGTTATGCTGTCTGGGGATGATGGGAACTGCTGCCTCACACACATTGGGAGTGCTGAGTTGAGGACGCCTGACCTATATTTTCACTTGAGGAGCTCCACTAAGCCATCATTTGCCTCAGCAGTTTTGGGAAAGAATTTCTCCCCACCGTTCTTGACTCGCCATTTTACTTCCTAATATATACAGTATATATAGAAGAAGAAGTATATTCAGACTTCTTTATACTGTATATATTAGGAAGTAATCTATATAAAATATATAAAAAGTAATACATATTTTTTTCAGACTTCTTTCCCCTGGAAAAATCTGGAATAAGGCTCAATATAGCTCTTGAGATGAGATTAGCTTCCGATCAGGGTGGACGGTGGCCCCCCATTCAAAATTTCAGAGTGAGGGACCACTCCAAGCAGTCCACAAGCTGCCTGTGGCCTTGAGGCTGTTTGGGACCCTGCTGTGAAAGGACTGAGGTAGATATTTCCTGAAGGAAGACAGGGGTGAGTCTCTGGCCAAGTGACAGGCCGCCATTTTTAAGGTTGCCATTGAAAAAAGGGAAGCGGGAAGAGAGAAGCAGATCTACTCCCAGGCCTGTTTTTAAAACACAAAGCACACCGACAGTGCTAAATATCAATGCTTGTTCATGTCACCAACCTCTCTGTGTTCTCATCATTTTTCAAAGGGCAGACTGTAAACCCCTTGGGGCAGGGATCCATCTTTGTTGACTTACATTGTACAGCAACATTTCTGACAGCTCTGTATAAAGAGGGACACACAGATGCTACCCAGTGTTTCGAAAGCAGTTCCATATGATATTTATATTGGGGGGGGGGGAAACAGACATGGGAGACATTCATTCCAGGGGCATTATCTACATGTTTGCATGGCTGCTTAGATTTTTCTTTCTTTCCTTCTAACCTAACAAACTCCTCTTGGAAGCTGTCCAGAAATTATATTTGGCAGTAGAAACTAGTCACAACTATGTGGAAAGCATCTCTGGAAAAATCACCTGCTTTGCCTAAGTAAAGAGGTACAGGGACTATCAAGACATTGGTTGGGTTTTCTGTGCATTTGTCTTCCATGAGTTTAGTAAATGCTCCTGGGATGGGTCTGGTTATTCTCACCAACAGGCTGTAGCACGAAGGCTGGCTTTTGGCTGTCTAGAGTGGAAGGTTTTTCAAAAGCAATGTGTTATTGTAGTTTCCATAGCTGGGGGACTTCATTTTTAGTTCCAACTCCTGTCATGTGTCAGTCAATGTAAATGCGGACTCCGGCTAATCAGTCCCCAGTTTCGCCTTTGCCCATGAACACAATAGTTTTCTAATCCATGTTGCCAAGCTATCATTGCTCAAGCTGAGTGGGAGGCTGGTTTGATGGAGGGTTGGGCTCTTCCAAAAATCCAGAAATGAACCATTGTGCTAGGCGGTGTTTATTCCACTCCCTACAGAGAGATTTAGTTAAATAATTGCACACATAAAGTAATTGGGTAGGTCTGGTTTTCTTTGGTGGGTAGTCAGCCTTTTTCAACAGGGGCCATATCCACACAAGCTTGAGAGAGAAAAACAGATCTTCCCCACCTTGCATCTGAGAAAAAAAGCGTATATTTAGAGGCAACTACAGAATCCATCTCTCTTCTATTAACAGGCGTTTCAGGACGTTTATTACAGGCATTTCTAATTATTGTTTCCCTTTCACATAAGTAGCTAGTAATGATTCTCCCCTTCATTTTAAACCTGGCATGTAATTAACCATTCTCCATAAAGGCAGAGGGCAAATTTAAGCATGATGTAACAGGATATTTATGACTTTTGACTACTGTATCTTTGATGGAGTACTTCCTAAAAATGATACTTTCATAATAAGAAGTGACCATGTTATATGTAGGTCATAATGATTTCTTCTGAGAAATGCCCTGAATTTAACTTACTTGGACACAGAAACAAGGGATGTTGGCAAGTCTTTGGCTTGAGTCCCAAGTATGGGTCTTTGGGTAAAAGTCCCAAGTCCTAAGCCTTGAGACTGAGTCGTAAGTCCCTGCCTGGGGAATTATGGGAGTGGTAGTTCCCAAAACCCCTCGTAAAGTCCACGTCCCCTTCATCCTTGGCCATCCCAGTGACAGTGATGCATCCTGCTTTGTTTTACCAGCCAGCTCCATACCAGCCCTGGTGCTGCTCCCTACGTTGGCCAGGCAAGAACCTTCACTGGTGGTGGCACTGCCAAGAGCTGCCGCCATCTTGGACTTGTGTGCCCCTCTGCAACTGCCATAGAATCATCAAGAGGCTAGCAGGGGCTCCAGAGCACGAAGGGCGACTGCGGGAGTTGGCTCCTCCGTGTCCTCCTCACTGCCTCTCTCCCAGTTACCGTTTCTTGATTGCTGGGAAGGAGGGAAGGAGGAGGAGGCTGTGTGGGCCAAGGACTTGGAAAACACAACTTGGAAAAATGGGTCTGAATCGTGAGTCATATCCTTTTTAAAAAAAGACCCAGGTCAAGTCTGAGTCAAGTCTCAGATGTGCCTTAAGGTGGACGCGACAGCAACTCGTGAGTCCCCATCCTTGACAGAATCATGCATATATTCTTATGAATGTCAGCAACCTCAGATAAACTTGCTGAATAAGTATTGAAAGAGCCATGAGTGTAAGTATCACCTACATGCAGTGTTCATGTGTTTTGCAAATGGATAAGGGCAGGAGAAATAATAGATATATATGCATTTTGGACATTCACAAAAATTTATGTGGGATTCCTCTTAATAACTTTCTTTCCCCCATGAACTACCCAGACTTTTGGACAGGACTTGGATACATCATCTTGCAACTTTTCAAGTATTTTAAATGGTAAATGGTTAAGTAGCCAAAATCCTACTGGTGTTCATATAAGGTTTGTAAAAAGTTCTGTGGTTAATTGCAGTTAATTAGCATAGGGCTGGGGCACATTTCCATTGTGTGCCTGGTCATGTGCCCAGTTATGCAATCCACATGCACACTGGCACCTCCTCAATTAGCTGTGGCAAATTACACAACCTTTGCACAAACACCAATAGAGTGCCAGATGTTTCCATGTTTGAGACCAATTAAGTTAGAAATGTAAACAGACCTCAATACATCATTGAATAACTTGAGTGCATTTATCTATGAAAGATATGCTTGTAAATAATATAAAATTAATAAATAACACTGTCAACATTAGAATATTTACAGTTAATTGATGTGTTATTCATGAAGGACTAGCTTCTTGTTGCTGCCATTGAATAGCCTTCTAAAATACTTACCAAGTACGACAATAGGGAAGATATTGGGAGTCCAACAGGAATATGGACACAGACTTCTTCAGAGGCTGAGTAGCCAGTGATGGTAGTGGTGGCAGCAAAATCTGAGTTTTGTATTTCTCTGCCCCCAACCCCATTGAGATGGTCTGACTCCCAGAGGCTGGCTGGACTTGGCATCCCAGAGCCAGAGGCCTCCATGCCTGTGATAACTTTAGTCTCCCGTGCCCCAGTTCTGAGATGGCTGCCCTCCTCTAGGAGTTCCAGTCCTTAGGAACCAGATCACCAATGCCAGCAACAGGACCAGCAGGAGGTTCCTGAGAGGTGATGGAAATTCCAGGCTTCAGGATAGGGGTTTGTCACCTTAAGGTTTCCTGCCCTGGCAGGAAAGGGTGGAGCCTGTAGGAACTAGTACAGTGGTCCCCAACCTTGGGCCTCCAGATGTTCTTGGACTACAGCTCCCAGAAGCCTTCACCACCATCTCTGCTGGCCAGGATTTCTGGGAGTTGAAGTCCAAGAACATCTGGTGGCCCAAGGTTGGGGACCATTGGACTAGTACTCAGCCAGACCTATTAGGGGCCTCAGTTCAGTACCAGACACCCTTCAGAGCAAGGTGTGTGTTGGGAGCTGTCCTTGGTGCTGTAGCTTCTGGCTGACTTGCTACTCTGAGAGCAGTCAGGCCCAGTCTGCACTTGCCAGATATGATGATGTGTCCAGATGAGGCTTTCGTTCTGTTGTCTTCCTCCCTCATTTACAGAACCTGAGAGGTGGCCTGGGTTCCTCATTTTTCCCCACTTCATGCATCTTTTCTTGTTCATCACCGAAAGAAGAGTAGTTGCACAATGCGGCCTTTTCACGGACAGTGCTAGCAGCCTATCATGGGGCACAGCTGCAGCCAACTTAGAAGTCCAGAAGAAAGAAAACCCACAAGGTCCAACAAAGAAAACCACACAAGTAAGTTGTTTAATATATATCAAACTTTAAATATTTAATGATTCTATGTAATAGAATCACATGTTACAGATAAACAAATGTGGTTGCTAAAGCACAACAGGTGAGTTAGTTATATATTTGGTCAAATTACAGGATAACATAACAAAATCATCTTAAATTTGAATGCTTAACTGATAGTATGGCTTTAAGACCACAAAAAGGTGAATACAAGACAGGAATACATATTCAGAAGTATGCCAGCAGAGGTAAACACAGGAAGACACCAAAGTTGTTGTGATTTCAATAAAAAAAATTATATAAATAAGTGTTGCACGGGTTAATCCTAGAATAATATACAAGGTTCTCTTGTTTTCCAAAAGGTGACAAAAATAGTTCTATGCATAGTCATATATATCTATGAACAGAGAGTTACAGCCTAATCCTATGAGCTACTCTGTCAAGTTGGGTGCTTAAAAGATTTGGTGGAAGAACCTCAGCTCAAGTGGATCCACTTTTGTTATGGCAATTATACTAGGGTCTGATCCTGGACTCATGAATTGGTATTCCCTGAGCCCCTTTGCAATGCCTACCAAAGGAAAATGAATCTTTCTGGGCTGGTCTGTACCATTTATATGGCTTATTGTGGGCTGTAGGTACTTTGAATGCAGGTGCAGAGATGTACATCACACTATTCCTTATTATTAGATAGGGATGAAACAGGATTCTCTCAAGACCTAAGGAAGAGGCAACAGGCTGTGTGAGTCATATTCTGTTGATAGCATTGTAATTCTTGGAGTCTTTAGCATCACCACCACAAATTCTTTCCTATCAGTGTGGACTTTTTTGGTAAATAAATACCAATGGATTGTTAAAAAGCAAGAAACCATCTCTAGCCTTTTTCAGCTGTGTTCTCAATGAAGGGCAACGATCCAGCTGATAAGACATCCAGAAGCTAAGCTTAAATATGCATGTATTTGTTTTATACGAGATATATATTTATCTACATATCTACATATGCACATAAACACATCCCTTTCCTTTCTTTCTTTTTTTACAATAGACAGAACAGGTTGCCATTTGTGGACTGGAGAATAAAATGGAAATGTGCACAGCTTACAAGAACAAAAGCCATTCTGTAAAAATACTACCTGCTTAAAAAAAGAAGATACAACTCCTCAACATTGAGCAAATTGCCTATACCATAGAAAAATATATCACCTTCCATTTAAAAGTTGCTTTGTTCAGCGGATCCACTGTATGAAACAAACAGTTCTATCGCATAATGAATTTCTAGTCCAATCTAAGACAAGGGATGAAAAAGGCTAGAAAAATAGAATTAAACAGGTAAAGGTCGGTACAAAACAGCAGCTAGGGTGGTAATGATGTTGCTTTGAAACAGCGTGTTAGTAATACAGTAGTGGCTGAATAGGCTGTAACTGTTTGCAGGACAACCCCCCCGGCTGTGTTTTAATGGTTTTGTGGAGCATCTGTTTTCCTCTGCACAAAGCAAGTACAAAACGTGAAACCAAAGGCCCCTAAGATGTTCAAAGTCCAAGCTGATTTCACTGTCACTCAATCAGCCTTCGATCCCATTGGCTTGCATTTCCTTGAATTTAAAGGGGAAGGCAGAACGGCCCTTTTGCTTCCTGCTTAATGGACAAAGCTGAGCGTCCAGAGGCTCAGATATTCCGCTGAGAAGCTGACAGTCTTTCAAAAAATCATTTCGCTAATCTCCCTTGTTTACATTCTACACAGAGGCACAAGCCAGCCTTCCCAGACCCCCCCTCCCAGCTCCATCCTGTTTACCACCCTAGCTGAACGCTGCTCAGCGCAGTTCAAAAATGACCAGTTGATGCCAAGTAGCAGGATTAAGTCTTAATGCACAAGAAAAGTCCCACAAACCAAAAAGACAGAGAGAGTTCCAAAACAAGAGACTTCTCCTTTCTCTTTCATCTTTCATGCAGGCTCCATAACAATGCAGCGGAATATGAAGGACTTATATCCCCTCACTGGCAAAGATGAAGGCTTTGTCGAGACACTCAACACATGGAGGCTTTAAAGCATCTCCCTGTGTTGGAAACCAGCAAGAAAGGTAGACATCTCTGGAGATTTGCATCGTTTTTGTATCATACCCTTTCAACTCTGGTGGGATCGTATGCATCTGCAAAAGAAGAAAGACGGTCATTACTATTAGTTTTAGGAATGCATAACCGCTCCATATCCTCATGCCTATAAAGTTTCCCTTTGATTCTAGTGAGAACGTCACAACATTAACGCTGAAACAGGGAGCCTGACATTTCTTGCATTGCCCATTCTCACAGGAGTCCTCCTCCATGGAAATCCCATTACGTAGACAGATGCTAGCTTGTACTTTCCTGGGTTCAAGTCCTACTGCAGCATTTAATGCTCTCCATAGCTTTGAATACACTGTTAGGTATATTCAAAGCTATGGAGAGAGTTAAATGCTGCAGTAGGACTTGAGCCCAGGAAGATACCTCCAGGCCACTGTCTCAATGTTACAAGCAACTGGACGCTATAGTGCATTAAAATTAAATGTGAACAGTTGATGGTGTTGTTTTGGAGGACCCCAAAGGGCTTATCTCTTTGAACCTTATTATGAATTAATTATTAATGATCAAGGTAGTGAACTGTGTAGCCATACAGAATTCTCTCTCAAACCTGGCAAAAAAGGTGTGCAGATTTGGCTTTCATCTTGCTTATTAACACTTTTTTTTTTAAAATGAACACATCAAAATTTTAATTGAAATTGGAACTCATTCTTTCCTACCCACCAAGTTGCCATCCAAATGAGCAAGAGAAATCAGAATCTGAAAGTAAGTGGTTTAAAATAACTAGTTACTGGTAACTACCTCTTCTATACAATTGCAAAGAGACAACATACTTTGCAGTTTTAACTGAATGACAGATAAGGTCACTACTTTAATGGTAAAAGGGTAGCTTCTTGTTTACTTCAATAGTACAGGGGAATGGCCTCATTCAACAGGACAAGAGGAGGATCATATTCTTGACTTGCTAGCTTGTATTTTCCATTGTACTTTGTTGTGAACAGGCCAGCACAGACTGCCCAGAAGTCAGAAAAATTACCAAGTCCCTCCTGATAAAGGCAGCAGAACAGGAAAGCATTTTAAGGGTCTGGAGAAATTTTTGAGACCGCAAGTTTTGTCAATAAGCACGGTCTCTCCAGTGTGGCTTTTCTGTAAGGTCAACTCTCTCATCTGAAAATTATAGCTCCTTTTTATAGTAACCCTAGAAGATACTCTGTAAAACAGCCATTGAATCAGAGATACTATTTTGAAGAGTTGATTGGAGGGGAGCAGTGACCCACCTATATTTCAGATCACCACGTTATCATTTCTCAGCATCACACAGAAAATTAACCCTTCTCTCCTCCATACTCACATTGGCATTTCACATGCACATGCTTAAAAATGCTAGAAACACCAGGATGACTGGAAAAGGGGCATTATTTTTCTTGTGGGTGTACATATTGATGAGGACAGGGATGAAAATAGGAAAAAAATTACAACTGCTGACTGACACCTTTCATTCAGTAGTAGCTGCAACATTTACCCTTAGCCTAAGAAAGATACACTAATGCACACTTCGCTTTCAAGGGTGCTTCAAAGTAAGTGTACCCTCCCACCAAAGTAATCACCATGGAAATTTTGGGGAAGTTGATCTTTTACCTGAGCAAAATACATCTTTTCCAGTTTTCTTTTCGTTTCTGTTGTCCGAGAGTCCATTTTCAGCCAGTGAGATGATGCGCTTGGAAACTGAACTCCCATGAGAAAGTCTACGGGGCAGTTCACTACGCCCTGAAGAGGACTCAGCTCCTTTTTCTTCTGGCCCTTTGGACTGTTTCTCTTCATCTCCATCCTCACCCGAATCTGTGTTTTTGATGCTTAGCCTCCTCATGCGAGAAACGGAGTGAACTTCTTTCATCCTCACCAGGCGATCCATGGCGGCGCGGTTAGGAGGAGCTGCCAGCTTGCCTTGCAAGGTCTCGATCACCTTTGAGGTGCTTCTGGCTCTTTTTTCTGAACTGGATGGAACCATGTTTCTTTCGGCAAATGGAAGCACCATGGACTCAAGAGGGGATGTCTGGTCTTTTCCTTGTCTATCAAGACCTTGATGGTATTCAAAATGCTGTTCGGCTATTAAATTTTCTTGAGCAGAGCTTGAGTCTTCCACAGATCCTACTGAGGTGTTTCTATCTCCAACAAAGAAAGAGCTTTCTGTCCAGCCACACTTTCGCCTTCCTTCATAAGATGCTGCTTTTGCTTCCACGGCCTCCTTTTCAGTTGACAATTCAGAGCTCTGGAGAGTGTTCTCAGAACGTGAATGGTCTCCCCGAGGCACTTTACTTTTGGGCACAAGAGACTCCACGGGTACATCTATACCCAAGATCCTGGCTGCTCTTGCCTGGAGCGATTCGTTGGGTGGAATCGCAGAAGCAAGAGGGTTTCCATAACAATCCAGTTCAGGACCCTGAGTATCATCAAGCCCCACAGATCTCAAGTCTGGCTCAGAGAGACCTTGATTCCTATTAGTTAAAGACAATCGTACTGCGGACCCTCTTTCCAGAGGTATATTATTCCTGGGCATTGCATTTTTCTTCACCTTCTCTACGTCAACTAAATTGTCCCTGTAGTTTTGCAAATGGCTTTCTTCCCTGAAATCAATGCTGTTGAATGGATTGGAGTGATCCTTATCATCATCGTAGCTATCAGACAAAATTCTTTTGCTTGGGTGTGGACTAAGCGTCTGCCTTATTATCCTTCCCCCAACCTCCTGTTTTCTTGGTTCTGCAACAAGGCACCCGTTTGCTGTTCTAACAACTTCATCTTTCTTTTTGATTGGGAAATAGCTTTGTGATCCAGCACTTCCATGCAGGCCACTAGGTATGGATCTGGAGCTTGAATTTGCAGATGCATTTAAACTTCCAGGCAGGCTTTTACCCTTTTCTTGTTTAAATACAGGAGCAACTGGCATCACTGCCTCTGACTGCATACCAGGTCTATGGTCATGGCTTGGTTCATCATTGCTAAAAGTCCCTCTCTCTTTTCTTCCTGCTGTCTCCTCCTCTGCTCTATCCCACTTGCTGTCACTCTCCACACTATCATCACTGCTTTCTTCATGTTCTTGAAGCTCTTTGTTAAAACTTTCTAGCTCACTTATTATATCCCAAGGACGGCGATTTACAGGTTTTAAGAGGAACTGCCCGAATAGTTCCTTACTTCTGCAAGGGGCACTTATTTCCTCCCTCAGGGGAGAACCCGTTTCCTGTTCCTGCCCAGGAAGAGTTGTGCATGAAGCACAAGGCAGATTCTGGCATGCTTTTGGACTAGAAGTCCCAACCTCAGAACACACAGCAGTGCTCGATCTATCAAGACATCCCTGATCTTTCACAGTGGAGGCGACCTGCCCACATTTTCTGTTACTAGCAGGCAACACTGTCAGTACTGGCTCTGTGGTGGAAGTCCCATATCTTGGTAACTGGAATGTTGACTGTGTATTTGATCCCCTTGGTTCTAAGCTATGGAGAAGCTTCGGGGTCTTGGGTTCCTCCACGAAGCTGGTCTGTGTTTGTTGGTCCTTGTACTGTTCACCTGGCCATGAGCCAGAGTATGGGTGTTCCTTGTGCTCTGCAGGCTGCAAGAATCTGAGATCATTCATTCGTTTGAACTCTGGCTTCCACAACTCTTGTTTGTGCAACTCATTCTTGTTGGTCATGCTTCCTGTAAGGGCTTGGAGTTCCAAGTCTGTAGAAGAGGTACTTAGGAGACTTTGTTCCTGCAGAACCCCGCTGTTATCAAACCCATTCTTTTCCACAGCCCCTTGCGTTAAGTTGTTGTTCCCGTCCGTATCTGGCAGGTTCAGATCAGATTTAACTGGGATGGATACCAAGCAAAATATTGTTTCGTTCCTTTTTTTCTTTGAACTCCTCCTGCTGTGCATCTCAGATCCAGGTTCAAATGTTTTTACTTTAGTCACAGTCTCATAGGGGGGTTCTGCAGGAGGGCTGTGTGCAGACCCTCTGCCTTTAGAGCATTTGCGATTCAAGTCTTGACTTGCGTCATGACCCTCTCTTTGGATAGACAAGGCACAACCGTCCTGATCTACATTAGACTCTGCTAACCATCTGCTGCCCAGTGCAGAGCTGCCAGTGTCCTGGCTGCATCTCACAGAAGGATTTAGTGAGTCTGTCGTGTCTGAAAAGGCACTGTCATACTCTAGTTCCAGAGGACAACCTTGAAAGGCATAGGAACGTGAACTGTTGGCATCCCCAGACACTCTCTCATTGTTCTGAAGACCATCTGGATGTGCGATTTTAATATGCCGGATCCGAGGGTCATCAAAGGGAATATACAGGACAGAAGACAGGTGGCCCTCCACATGCTGAGAGTGGCATTTCTTATCACGAGGAATTTGTTTATCTTTACAGTGTTCACGTGCAGTCTTAAATGTATCCTCAGGAGGCTGGTGACTACCAACAGTCCTCTCTATTGGACTCTGCATACCGTTATTAAAGCACATACCATAGTCAGGCACTTCACCGGGCAAATGTTGATTTATAGTTTGCTGAGCTGGAGATTTATAACATGGAGGAGGGACGTACAAAGGGGGCTCCAGGCTAGAGTCTTGGATGCAAGCCTCCTGCATCTGATCATTAACTTTGGTCAAAGAGAAGGCCGTTCCATCTTTTCGCAGATCATCTTGAAGCGTGTTGGTTTCCAGGGCTCCCCTGTTTTGTTGGTGAAGTTCATAGGAAGGAGGCTTCAGTGGTCTGCCGTATTTAGGCTTGGGCAAAGGAAGGAAGGGGAATCCCGGGTCAGAGTGTTGGGAGGTTTCCAAGCTTAATCCAGATGGAGGGCAAGATACTGTTTTAGTTGCACTGAGTGAGTGTTTATGAGTAACTAGGGAGGGCATGTCAACACATTTGAGGCTCTCTGGTGAAAGAACTCTTGGCAACGACTGAGACTTCCCCTTGGTGTGAGAAGTAGCTGTAGTATCACCTTGCCGCACTGAATAGGTATTGTGAGGTCGCCTCTTTATATCACCATCAGACATGAGTTCTCCAAACTTGGTTGGTTGGTTCCAACGATCTGTCCTTAAACTTTGCCACCTGTAGTCACCAGAGGGCTTCGAGTTCTCTGGCATCCCAGTTCTCCTGATGTTTTCCACCCCACCTCCCATCTCCCACTGACTTTCTTTATCACGTCCATACAAGGCACAAGGTGCAGCCATTCCTTTCATCTGGGACTCCCCCTTATCAGTATAACCCAACAACACACTAAAATCTTGGCCTCTTCTTCTCCAGTAGGCAAGATCTTTGTCCGTCTTGGGGCGTGAAGACCAGCCTAACTGTGGTCGGTCATAAAGCCTGCAAAAGAAAAGGAGAAACCATTGAAAAAGTCCACCCAAACAAAAACAGAAAAGGATCTTCCCCCTACAAAAATAAGTGCTGTAAAGAATCTGAGGCTCCCGGAATCATAGCTCAACCAATGTAATTGCCACCCTAACGTTTTTTGCATAGCTATAAATGGGAACTTTGTTGGAAGCACTACAGTGCTGTGGTTGTAGCTGAATGTTGATAACAATCATCTGTAACATTAGGAGAATGTGCACATAACAGTCAACTGCATGCACACACATACAGCCTACACTACTATATGTTATGTTAAAGCAAGTGAGGACTTGCAACAAAGGTTGCCATATGTCTCCACCCCTTAACAGAAATCCTTCTCTCCAGTGCTCCAACCATACCCTCTTGGCTTCTAGCTCTTCTTTTCCAACTGATGCTCAGCATCAACTATTGTTGGGACAGGAATTGCCCTCTTAGTTAAACCAAAAGTACTTCTGCAAACATCAGCTGTATCCTCCAATCCACAAACAAGCTGGTACCTTTCTTTTTCAAAAGGTCTGTCTGGTTCTGAGCATCTGCATTTGCCATTAAAGTACCCAGGATCTGGACAATGAGGCTTTGTTTTAGCTCCAGGTAGACTCCTGATTGAGCTGTCTGAATAGCTCAGTGAGTTAGATATATGGTTGTGGAGATAGATATTGGCAATTCGATTCCCCACTGTGTGTTTCAAGAAAACAGCCAGCCTCTGTAGACTTGGGCAAGCTTTACAGACCCAGGGTACCCCCATAATAAGGGCATGGTAAACAATTTCTGAGTACTCCGTACCTAGAAGACCTAGAAAGGTCACCATATGTCAGAAATGACTTGATGGCACATAATTATTATTGGACTACTGAGTACATTACTTATCCCCTTAGATCAGTCCCCATATTAAGGGAATGGTAACAATTTCTGAGTATTCCGTACCTGGAAGACCTAGAAAGGTCACCATATCTCAGAAATGACTTGATGGCACATAATTATCATTAGACTACTGAGTACATTACTTATCCCCTTAGATCAGGGTAGGCAACTTTATCAGGGCTGTGGACTGTTTTTCGGATAGCTTAGGAACTGAGGCTGGTAACTCAGGAGGCCGAGGAGTATTTTCAGAGTGAAGGGTTATGGTCAGCACGACTAATTAGCATTACACGTACTTAAATGTTGACAGATGACAACATTTAAGCACTCTAATGTAATATAAAGGTTTATATGATGCAGTATAATTCAACATTGCCCCAAACATAGGCACCAGTTCTTTGAAAACAGTTTAAAATTTCTATTGCAATGTCATAACACTTAATTTCATAAAATATTGTTTATTCCTTGAAAACCAAAATCAGTCCTAATTCATCAAATGAAATCCACTCACTAATTACAACTTTTTATGTACATGTATGTATTTTGCCCCTATTCCTAGCACTGGTACTTAATTTAATAAGGCAGCACTATAAAGCAAAAGAAACAGCACCAGCAGCATCAGAAAAATCACAGTGCTTTGGTTTTCTGATGCCTAAGCAGTCCCTAACCTTTGAAACTGTCATAGAAAGGAACAATCTCTCTCCGATTAACAAGGAAGGAAGCCAGCATCCAGAAAAAATAGTTAGAATTCAGGAAGCGTAGTTAGTGGCTGAGGCTATCTTAATGCAGGCAAGACAATTATGATATATAACTCACAGTCCTAACAAAACAGCGAACAAGATTGAGACATAAAATAGCTTAAAATAAGGCACATTATGTGGTAAGTGACTGTCAGAGAGTTGCAGAAGCTGTCTGTCTGATTTTCAGTGGCAATATTTTTAAAATTAATTTTCCTGAGTGTTCTTGAGGGACTGCCAAAAGAGGTTTGCCTACAACCTAGGGAGTGCACGTTGCCCAACCCTTCCTTAGAAACCAATTTTCTTTTCTTCTCTTTTTTTTCCCATTGTAGGACATTTTTAGTGTGTCCCTGAACTGCCTCTGAGTCAGTGCAAGAACTCAGCAGAACTGGCCTTCCAAATGGAACCTCTACTTACGAACTTAATCCGTCCCAGAAGATGATCGTAATCTGAAATGTTCGCAAGTAGAAGCACCATTTCCCATAGATTGTAAGCTGAAATGTTCGCAAGTAGAAGCGCCATTTCCCATAGGAATGCATTGAAAACCGATTAATCTGTTCGGGCCAAAGAAAAAAAATACCCCCCCAAAATAAAAAGAACACAGCAAACGTGATCAGAAGGCACTGAGGCTTTAAGAAGGAGGAAAACCTCCAACAACAAACAGTAAACCGACCTCCCTTGCTGAGGCTTTAAGGGGGAAAAAAGCCACCAACAACACAGCACAGAAACATACTGGCCCCAGCCAAAACCCACCCAGAACAGTTTTTTAAAAGGAGAAAAACTCCCTGCAGGGAGAGAGAGAGAGAGAGAGAGAGAGGAAGCAGAAAGGGAAAGAGCTACAGCACAAAGAAGCAGCCTCAGCACCATCTACAGTTAGAAATTTGAATTTCCCGCCTTTTTCCCCTGCCTTTTTCTGTTCGTAAGTGGAAGCCCCGGTCGCAAGTTGAAGCAAAATTTTGCGGCTGGAGCTGATTGTAACTCGAAATGGTCGTAAGTAGGGACATTCGTAAGTAGAGGTTCCATTCAACCACCCACTACGCATAAGGAGCATCTTCCCAGAGACCAGGAAAACAATCACTTGTAGAAATTTTTCATCCATCGCTGTAGAGAAGACTGATATGAGTAGATGTGGAAAAGTAGGCTAATAAAACCTTTCCAGGTTCCTAACTTTTCCACATGTATTTGGAACCGTGAAGACCTACTCTAGCCTCAAGATTCAAAAGCAACATTACATCAGCCAGAGCACTTGGAGGCCAGATGCACACACTTGTGGTTTCATCCTAGGAACCACATATGTGTAAGGAATAGCAGTCATTTGAGAAAAAGGTGTACAACATGACAGAGACTCTTTTTACTACATCTCTAAAGATCCCCTACCATCTGGGTCACTGGAGAAATCTGGGATGTGTAGTTCCCCCCCTTCAAAGAACTTTAAAATTTAGAGTGCTTCCTAAATTTCATGATACTTCTTCAGCAGAAGAGTGTACTTGTGTTGAAAGTGTGTCGTGTGCAGTTGGCAAGGCAGCTCTTCATGAAAAACCAATATAAGTTCTTAAAATTGTTCATGGCACATGAGTTCAATAATCACTTTGTATTTCCTGCAGAGAAAAAAGGGGTTCAAATGTGTAACTGCCAAATGTATAAGCCAAAAGGGGGAAAAATCAGACATGACAGAAGGAGGACAAGAAAGTAGATCAGACAGAGTTCACCTCCCTCCACCTCAGACCTAAATGCAATTAAGAGTTTGTTCATAAATAAGAGACAGAAACTTGGGAAGAATGAGGGGATTCATCCCAAAAAATTCTTTTTCTTAAAATTAGACAAAAAAAGAAGAAGAAAGAAACATATCCACATGACCACCAATAATCCATGTTTTTGAGCTCTATTCAAAATCAAATCACTTTTGTTGGCATCTATGAATTCATCCCATCAAGCAAACCTGCTCATAGCAAAAACTGAAATGATTTTTTTTTCATCATTGGAAAGATTAAAGCAAATCTTCTGGATAAAATGCCCAGGGTAGGAAATTACTTCCTTCCGTGGGCCAGAAATGACAAAAGCATTTACGTCAAAAATGTAGTGTTCCTACACAGAAATATAGGAAGATGAGCTTGGTTGTCTCATCAACAACATCTGGATTAATATAACTGGGGCAAAAAACAGAAAGAATGTGGCAGCTGGAGTCTACTCCTGATCAGTCAATCAAGGAGAAGATGCAGATAAAACCTTTGAAAAACATTTTTTAAGAATTTCAGAGAAACATGATGTAGTGGTAATAGGAGATTTCAATTATCCTGTTAAAAATTTTGAAGAAACATGATATAGTGGTAATAGGAGATTTCAATTATCCTGATATCTGTTGGGAGGCAAAATCTGCCAGATATGGTCCTTCAAAGACATTCCTGCCTTTTTGTGACTTATAATTTTCTCCTGCCTGCCTGCCTGCCTGCCTGCCTGTCTGTCTGTCTATCTGTCTGTAAGCTCAGAGAGGACATGAAAATAAAAAAGGACACATATAGGAAGTGGAAGGAATACGAGGCCACAGAGAAGGAGTACAGACAAGTAGCAAAGAATGATCGCTAATGATCATCAAAATTAGACAATCCTCACTTTATGTAATAGTGGAGAAAGCAACATAGAAACAGAGGGCTAAATTCAATCATTTGGCCTACCTAGAACAGATCCACTGAATCAGTGGGATCCTGGCCGGGCAATGACTGTGTGGGTCCTGCTGATGTGACTCTAGTTGGGGCTAAGAGTTGGATGTAGCCCATCATTCTAATAAAGCTGCAGGCTAAACAAGCAGAAGAAAAGTGACTGCGTGAATTTCTAAGTGAAACTACAAGACTAGGAAACTCTACTCACTGAAACAAACCGGCAAAAGAAAGACAAGTATGAGTGAAGACATAATGTGTTTGTTGCACTAACTATTCTGCCTTTCCTGAACAAAGCATCTGCGGAGGTTTGCCAAGGAGTCTCCTCACAAGACTAAACAACAGTTGACCAGAGCCAGACCTCCTGAGTTCCAGCATACTCGATCTTAAAGTTGTCCACCCTACCTGTGAAACAGTCCTAGCTTCAAGAAGTGAAGCACATGGGCGTGAGTGTTTTGGCTGTTGATGACAGAAAATGTAGAGGGGACATGAGCTGTCATTATTTCCCCCCCCCCCTGCATTAGGGCTATTTTTCATGAATTACTCTCCATGTTTAAAAATGCATTTAAAGAAATTGCACTGAGTCGAGGACGTAGATAAATTTTATACATCCAAGACTGAAACATTTTAAAAGTCCTTTTGATGTAGAAATGGGGGGAAGAAATAGAATAGTGTTTATATCTCTTGACAGAGAACAACTTGTATCCTCACTTTTGCCTTTGAAAATAAGCTGAAGTGTCTCCTTTTTGCTCCTGTTCAACTGACAGACAGCTCCAAGAACATGGTTTCTATGCCTTTCCCTCTTCCAAACTGAACCATCCTTCCTGTCTGATTTGCTCCAGTTCAAGCGTACGTGTGCAACTGGCTGCAGGCAAGTGTAATGGCAAGTGACACGTTTTATGAAGAGACAACAAGGCCTTTCACAGGGCTGAAGCTGGATTAATAAGACCTTCCAGGAAGACTCTAATGTTTCTTTCACAGAATACACCTCAGGAAAAACATGAGTCTTACAGAAAAAAAAAGAATGGGACATTCGTAACTAATTCACAAGGTCTTACTGAACACTTCTATAGTGAAGGGCTGAGTTCTGGTTTAGACAATCTGTTTTCAGCCACGTTATAAGGACATATATTCCTAATTCAACATGTACAACCTAACCACATTTTCCTCTTCCTGCAAGGTCTTGTTCACCTGATATATTTCCAGAAAAAACATCTCCCCCTATCCTCATTGCCTTGCTAAATACATTTATAAAATAACAGGGATGGGCACTCGAGTAGCGGGACTCATTGTCAAGTCAGACTGAAGTCGCACCAGGGAATTCATTCATTCATTTATTTATCCGATTTTTACCCCACCCCTCTAGACAACGTCTCTCCCCCTATCCTCATTGTCTTGCTAAATACATTTATAAAATAGCAGGGATGGCATTTATCCGATTTTTACCCCGCCCCTCTAGATAACGTCTACAACGTCAAGATAACATATATAAAAATACAATTATTGCAATTAATTCTAATTGACTTGGACTCAACTTGTATCCTCCCCGCCCAATGATTTGGACTCAGCTCATTGCTGACAACCCATCCACTTCTCCCTTTTTTTCTGGGGGGGGGGGAGCTTGCTTTTAATAGAGACTCGGACATGGGGCTTGGAACTCATAACTTGGCACCAGAGACTTGGGACTTGGGACTTGCTACCAAAGACTGGGACTTGGGACTTGGACCCAAAGACTGGCCAACATCCCTGTAAAATAATTCAGAGTTGGAAAGGACCCCAAGGGTCACAATTCCCTGCTGGGGCAGGGCATCCAAAGCTAATGCATCCCTGAATGATGGCCATCCCTCCGTTATGTGAAACCTTTCAGAAAGAGAAGTGCATATCTTTCAAGGTAATCCATTCCACTGTCAAACAGCTCTTACACTCCAGAAGTTCCTCCTACTTTCCAAGAATTCCGCTGAGAAGTCTATTTAAAATACAGAGAGGATTTTTTCCATTGTAATGCCCTATGCATACATTCAGGATAGGGTTCACTTGAATGCCCAGGGAAAAGGAGGAGGCTACAACTGATACATATTCTTTTAAAGTTGCATATAAATGATTCCAAATTGCAAATGGCCACCCTATAGTGCTGCCAGGTTAATTACAGATGTGGAACACCTGAACTCAGTTTTGTTTTTTAAATATCTAAAGAAACCTAGGGGGTAAGAAATACTTACTCCACTTCTGATACATGCATGCTGGCTAAAGGTGGCAAAATGTTGGGATAACTGGGTCCTGGATGCTTCCCTTTGATGACATGACTGTTTTCGTTATTGTTCAGGTAGTTTTTGGTAGCTATCTTCTTGCTGGTTGCATTGGCTCCAGAGCTGGTTAAAAATCCATTCAGAGTTCCGTGACGGGACCTCTTGTCTGCAACTTCGTGCTGGAATCCATCGCTTCTGTCCTCATACAAATTGGTAGGATTTTTAGATAATTTGTATCCATGAGAGATCAGGAGATCCTCTACGCTGAACATATTGTATTGGCTTCATTTACTGTGGCATCCCTTGAAGTTCTCATAAACTGGGCCCATCACTGGAAGAGAAAGCAAAGGACTTCGTGAGTAAGGAAAGACCTACCTATAGATCCTCCTGGAAGGTGGAAAACCAATCCAGCTGTAAACATGTGCAATCTGAGTACATATTTTTCAATAAAGGACCAGTGCTCTCACTCTCATGAATTAGTTATAAATACAATAAATGCAAGATATGTTTTATAATGTTTTAAAACATCTCCTCCTATCCTCATTGCCTTGCTAAATGCATAGGCATCCTTCAGTCTCGAGAGACTATGGTAACATGCTCTGAATTGAGGAGTGTCCTCTCCAGAGCATGAAGCGCGGGTAAGGTAATATGGAGGATAGGCTGTTACCCAAGCAGCAGATCCCCCCTCTCCACATTGCTGAGATGGTCCAATGGAAAGGCAAGAGCCAATACGACTGGTTCCAGCAATGTCGCAAGAGTTGGCAGAATGACAAATACAATGCTAAATACATTTATAAATAAATACATTCCCGTAATCCTTTGAAGTAGTTGCATGAGATCAGTTGGTACTACTGCAAACATGTGGCACTGAGAGTAGGAGCCAGTGACATCTCCATCATTTCCATATATGAAATAGTATTTATGAGTAAACATAGCTTTTCTCATATATACAGTAATGCCAAAACACTAGTAAATGCATTTAAAGGGAAAAATGGGGCCTGAAAAATCAGCCTTAGATGGCCAATGCTGCATTTAGCCCAATCCTGATCTAACAGAACCTTGGGCTTTTTAAAGGATTGTTGGCTGAATTTACTTAAAAACAATGTGGCTTACTGGCAAGATAACTATAGTTTTGAGAAGGACTGACACCCCCCCCCCATCATCAAGTCAAAATTGTCTAGGAAAGAAATTATAAAGGCTACACTTCCAGTATCCAAATAATGTGTTTTATTGTAAAGTGCAAGAGATAAAAAAAAGAAGCTGTATTAGAAGCAGTCCTCTAACAGATGGAGAGGTTGGTTCAGGGCAACTTAAATTATTTTTCCATTGCTAATTGTTTTTCAAGCGTGAACACCTGGGATTAAAAGAAGACCATGTATGCACAGAACACCGAACAGCTGGTTGCTAGAACAATTCATCCTCAAAGAAAACGAAAAAGAAAGACCCACCATGACTACTGTGAAAAACAATAACAGTTGACAGGTCGCAGGTGCAAGGAAGAAATGTCCTTTTCCTGGTGGTGTATAAACTCACAGTCATGGTTTTGTGAGCAGCATCCATTTTCCGGCCACTGACATATTGCTGTCTGGGCAAAAATAGTATACAGGAACTTTCTGACAGCTGCTTTAATAAGTGGACTAGCTACTGAAGTAAATGGAGTCAAAAATGCAAGGTGAGGAAAATGGACCACAGAGAACAGAGGGAACTTGCATTATATGTTCCTTCAAGAAACCTGGCCAACCACACTTTCTGACTATGAAAAGTACAGACAAAAGTTTTTTGAAAGGCAGAGCCAACTCTAGGATATTATAAGGTGAAGACACTCTCCTTTTAGAAGCTGGAAGGAGGATGTTTCATGTTACCTAAGGAAAAATGATCACCACAATGCAATGGAAAAAACAAACCAACATATAGACGATGAAGCTAAACTGAAGAGCTAGTGCAGAATCATTTATTTCCTACATTCCTATAATGCCTGATAGCCAAACAAAACAACCCTTTCTCAATCTGTTGAGAAGAAGCTGAGAAACTAAGGGGAACATTAAACCCATCTAGGTTTCTTAGTAAGTGCCTTGGAAAGCTGGCTAAGAAGGCTGGGGTCAATATTGGTCAAGAACAAAAGGGAAAGTGACACATTCGATTGACTTCCTGCCTGTGAGGACATCAAAGTAATACCGAAGTAATCTAACACCTCCACTTTATCTCTTGTCATCAAAAGCCAGTCCGCTTCCTTCTCTGGAATCAAGCAAATTGAGGGAGGATTACAGCTGTGTAAAAGGAAGAGGAATTCTACTCTACTTGTTACTCCAAGAAGTGCAAATTATGTCTCTTGACTAAATATGTGGACCAAATAAAGTTTGCCCCATCTCCACATTTCTATGGCAGCAGCATTTCTATAAGTGGCAGGGCTGGCACCAGTGGCCAGAAATCATGGAGGGCTGCGGGCAAGAGGATTCACCACCATTTAAGTTGTATAAAGGACTGTCAAGGAAGAGTCTTTTTTAAAAAGACATCCTCCATCTGTGACAAACAACCCTCAGAAGCAGGACTACCTGCAGCTTAAAATTGCCTATCCACAGTGAACATCTGGACTGCAGGCTCAGCAACCAGGCAGGTCATCTGATCACCCAACTGGGTGTAATGTACTGTAACACTTTTTCAATTTAAAAATAATGTCTAATTTTGTATTTGTCTACATCTTTCAGCATACATTAATTACAGTATTTTTATGCAAGTGAATGCCCTCTTCTGCTCTCATTTTTGGTGATGTGTTGAGTGGCCGCCCAACACCATTCCCACTCTCTAGCATCTTCCTTTTGCTGCTGTTCACCTTCTTGAGAAGTGAGATGAGGAACTGTGGAGTAAGGTTTAGCCTTACTCTACCTTTTCACAACTGAATTTGAGTCTGACTGCTGTGGATTCTTGGTATGCATAAGATGAGCACTGACAGCATGTGTTAGTGTTCCCCTTCTGTGTGAAATTGTGTCTGTAATTCTTGATTTTGTTTCTGCGTATCAAGCTTTGATTATTACATGATAATGAAATTAATCTCTATTTATTGCATTTTTTAAAAAAATAATAATGTGTTGCAAAATGTTTTTTGCCCCCTTTGGAGTGTTGTGGTGCAGTGGTGAAACTGCAATGCTGCAGTGAAGACTCTGCTTAAAAAAAATAATGTGTTGCAAAATGTGTTTTTTTCCCCTTTGGAGAATTATGGTGCAGTGGTAAAACTGCAATACTGCAGTGAAGACTCTGCTTGCAACCTGATTTTGATCCCTGGCTCAGATAGCTGGTTCAAGGTTGACTCAACGTTCCAGTACCCAGCTCATTGGGTGAGTGGGTGGGCAATGTGTAACCTGCATCATTAAATTATAAATTACTCAGAGTGAGCTTGAAGTAATATGGGGCGGTGAGTAGGCAGCACACTTTTCTCACATTTTTACACACAATCTTTATTGTGATCCACTTGAAGTATGGCTGCCAGCAGAAAAACAAGAGATTAAATAACCAGCTAGTTACATTTTACTCAGAGTGAGCTTGAAGTAATATGGGGCGGTGAGTAGGCAGCACACTTTTCTCACACATATATTTTTACACACAGTCTTTATTGTGATCGACTTGAAGTATGGCTGCCAGCAGAAAAGCAAGAGATTAAATAACCAGCTAGTTACATTTCTCATCTTCTTTGCATCCTTTACACAGTTCATCAAGACCCAAAAAAGCACCTCAACCATTATAAGCAAATGGCCACCGAACCTCTTCCCCTAAGACAGCTGGTCCTCTCATTCTCTCACCTTCCCTTCCCATCTGAAGATGTCTGAAATTGAATGCACAGGCTTCCTTGTCTGATGCAAGAATTTTAAGAGAGGATGGAAAAACAGTGTGCCTTCCTGGAGCTCCTTTGTTTTGTTTGCCAATGACATCACAGTGTTCAGAGAGATTTCACTTCCTCAGGATGCTGGCTATCTCCCCAGAGTTTCCGACTTGTCAAGGTTTAGCTAGACCAGTTCTGTGGAAACACGAGCCAGACCCTCTCTGGCTACCTCTAAGCCCCACTGGACATACTTAAGATTGCAAATACTGGCCTACACACAGCCTGTAGCAGAAAAGAGAGGAAACGGTGAGATCACCCCTTCCCGACTGATCTTTTTTCCGTTCCATGCAAACTGACTGGCTGGAAAGAGGAGTGAGCATGGCAGAGTGACAGGCAGGCAGGTCCTCAATCAGCTTCCTCCACCCTTAGGCCAAGAGGAGCTCTCCCAACGGAGGGGAGAATATGCTACAGGCAAGGTGTAGCTGGCCTTTCTTGTCAGGTGGGGGCAACCACATGTCTAAATGGGGACGTTTGAGGGGTGAGGCAAAGCCAGCCAGCCTGAGCTCCTCAATGATGGACCAGATGCGAGGGCCAGGAGCAAGGAAAAAATTGTGCTCTTTCCCCTCACTGCTCCATGCAGACAGAATATGAAGTTACACTATGGACGCTATAGAAGCCAAGTCAGCACAACATTTAGTAAGAACACAAGGAGCGATATGCTTTTTTTGCTTCCTTCATAACTGCTTTCTTCTTATCTTTGAAATCTCTTGATGTTAAGGCATCTTGCTTTGACATACAGTACTTGTTTATGAATCTCAACAAGCAGAGTAGAGATCTATATTCACTATATTCACAAGTAAATACTTTAACTTTAAACTTCTGGAACAATTTTTGGTGGAAATTATGACCCTCACTGTTCTTCTGTTATTAACAAAATTTAATCTGTTGAACTGCCTCAATATTCTTTTGAGAGAGAGATTCCAAGGAATGCCGGATTCAGAAGCTTGACTTTTCCTATACCTACAGTCCTCTTTCACTTATGGTCTAGTCAGGACCTCTGGCAGCGGTGATTTTTTTTTTGACAATTAAAATCTCTTATGCCATCCCAAAGCTTGCATTGGCTCCCCCAGGGCAGAATGAAGTCTCAGAACCTGACATGGGGGACAGGAAGATTTCATTTAGTTTAAATTAAATATTTCATAGAATCATAGGATCATAGAATAATGGAGTTGGAAGGGGCCTATAAAACCAAGACCAATCCCCCGCTCAATGCAAGAATCCAAATCAAAGCAGATCTAATAGATGGTTGTCCACTCACCACCTCCTGAGGTAATTAGTTCCACTGTCGTACTGCTCTAACAGTTAAGACGTTTTTCCTGATATTCAGTCTAAATCTGGATTCTTGTCTCTTAAGCCCATTATTACGTGTCCAGTATTCTGGAATGATCAAAAGATTCTACCCCTCCTCTTCTCTATGACTGCCTTTTAAGTACTCCAGTGGTGGATCTGGTTTATGC